TTCATCATCTCATGAGTTTTTTTATTATCATAAAGTACTATAAATTGTTGTGCTTTGAGATGACTTCTGTCTGATGCTGATTTTCTTGCAGTTCAATCTTTCATTTCTTTAATGATATCACTATTGCAAGTAACTTCTTGTTGTAAATATTGTAATTCTGCTCTGCTGATGTCATTGTTCTTGTATAGCACACAATCAATCTTAGTTTTTCTTGTTCATTTAATTATTGCAGTCTTTCTGCTATCATGCAATCTGATGCATCTGTATCAATCATACATGTTTTGATTAAATTATAGTGTCATCTCATTTCTTCTTTTCTGAACTTGTCTTTTATTGCTTCAAATGCTTTCTGACACTTGTTTGTCCATTTGAATGATTTATCTTTTTTTGAATAGCTGTGTAAGTGATCTTGCTTTCTTTAAAAATCTGTATATGAATTATTGATAGTAATTTGCTAGTCTGTGAAACATTTGTACTTCTTTGACATTTTTTGATGTGAGTCATTGCAGTACTTCATCAATCTTTTCTGGTTTCATTTGTACTTCTTCTGTTGATATGATGTGTCTGAGATATCTGATTTTTTTCTTAAAGAAATCACACTTCTTTAACTTTACTGATAGATTGTATTCTTGTAGTCTTTTTAGTATCTTCTTGACTTTCTCAATGTGATTCTTTTGATCTTCTTTGGTGAATATGACCACATCATTGAGATATGTGATGATGAAGTCATTCAAGTATTCTCACAGTGCATTGTTGATGAATGCTTGAAATGTTGCTGGTGTATTAGTTAGTTCAAATAATATGATGTTATATTTGTACAGTTCATATCTTGTTCTGAAAGCTGTTTTTCATTTGTTATCTTTCTTAATCTGTATTTGATGATATGCTTCTTTAATATCAATTAGAGTAAACCACTTTACTCCTCTCAATCTGTCTTACACTTTCTCAATCAATAATATTGAATAGCAGTTCTTAACTGTTATACTGTTCAACTGTCTGTAATT